TTCTACAGCCCTTATATATATTATAAATCAGCTGAGCCCCAAAAAGGTGTAACAGTGACTCTGACAGGTTGAGATTGTTCAGGTAAATTCAAAAGGTTTTGGGGGATTTCTTGTTCTGTTTAATTCAGAGGCGGGCCCTGGTTATGACAGAATGTATTGATAAAAGGGCGCAATAACGAACTGTAAAAATATTCATAAATAGATGTCTCTGCATGTCTCTGCATTAAATAATAATATTTCATTTAGGTGGAATACAGATTAAAAAAAATATTTATATAAGAAACTTTTAGCAGCCAAAAAAATAGTTCCATTTACTTGGCAAAACATAACAGACTCCTTTAAATCAAGAATTTATTTATATTAGCTGATGAAAATAATTTGAATATTCTTCCTTTATCAGATCTTAAGCTTATTTTAATTTTAAAAAATAAATTAAACCAGTATGGAAAAATGTTTTATTACAGCTTATTGGAAACTCAAGTCTTCACTGTTAGTTAATAAAACAGTGGAAAAAAAAAACATTTAACAAATAATAAGAAAGTATTGGAATACTGCTTGCAGTCAGAAGGAAGTTAGTAAAAATTGGGAACTCCTAAAACATGAACTTCGAAAAATGTTAATGAAAACTGGAGCTGAAATGGCTTAAAGAAAAAGGGAAATAGAATCAGAGGTAATAAAAGAAATGATGACAGCGGATGTATAAAGGAAAGGAAAAACAAATCAAATGCAGTTTTGTGAAGGTTTGGTGTTGAACATACGACTGTGTGACACAGTACTGAGGAAGCTGGAGAAACTAATAGTGGCTAATGGCCGCTCCCACCGCTCACTCATGTCAGAGGCTGCAAACGAACGTCAGAGTGCTGTCGCCATGAAAGTCTCCAACAACACAGATAAAAAAAATATATCAATAGTTGCCATTTTAAAAGAGAAAACGTTAGTAAAGGAATTTCATTTAGAAAGCATTTTAAAAACTGGCTTTTGGAAAACCAAATATGTCAACATTGATCGCATGTATGAATGGATTTTATTTTTGTTTTGTGCATTTCTTATTCAGTAGCATTATTTTGTTGTTTTTCTTCTTAATTTTACTATGTTTTAGCATCAACCTGTCAATTGGACTGGAGATGGAAATTAGTCACTTGGCTGTAATCTCATGTATTTACATTTAAATGTTCATTAGTTTAGTATTGAAAATAAATTAGCTTAAACCTTATAGAAATCTACAGCTGCATAATTACTATAAAGGCTGCTACAATTGTGCCATAGTCCCTCTTGGCCCACTGACACCTTCATTTCCTCCGTTTCAGTTTAAGTTGAGCTTTTCTTAAAGTTCAACTTATCTTTGCAGATTTCTTCATTTTTTCCCTTCTTTAAAAGGATATTGTTTTTAACATTTCTGCCATCTGTCGTAGTAAAAGTACTTAGTGTCAGAAAATTTAATTCCACATCTAAGAGAGGCAATTTCATCCACAAAGTCTAATTGTTGTAATTTATGACTCCTCTGAGATGCTGGTGCACCCAGGATGCTCTTTGGACATCACATTTTCCAGGTCTTTAAATAGGACCTCATCCCATCTCAGCTCATCTCATCTCATCTTGGATGTAGTCTGGCATGCTTTTGCATTATAGCAATTTGCCAGCCCACTATATCACTCTCTGTGCTTTGTCATTGTCCGTCACGGCAGCAGAAGTTAATTTATCAGTGTTGTCCGCCTTGCAGAACTCTCTTCTTATTTATGGAACTTTATGATGCAAACATGTCAGTCGATGTTGAACAGTCATTCTTCCTGGATGTTCCTCCCCTTGAATGATGGCGAGGTTACATAGTCATTTGAGAACATAAGCAAATCTAAGCAGTGATCTTTGTTGCCTGAGATAAATTTCATCAGTGGGCACGGTGCCCTGGCTCTGCCACTTCTGTGGCTGACAGCCTAGATCTCTCAAGCATGCTACCTCATACATCATTCTTTACCGCCTGCCCTAGAAATGCATGCAGTGTAGCCAAATCTGCGATGGATCACAACAAGAATCAGAAGAACTGCAGGGAGCTGATCATGGATCTGAGCGTTCACACAGACTGACCTGGGAACAGTTTTCTCTGGTCAGATTTCTCCATCATTTCTGCTCCAACAGACACTCTGTGCTGGGAGCGTTGCTCCGGTAGGTAATTTCTGTGTAAGATGACAGCCATTGCAATGACATGAAGTGAACTGACAGACTAATTTAAGATGGCTACTTTACACTCGGCAGACTTACATGACAAAGAGAGCTTCTCATGGGTAAATAATAAACTACTACGTTGGAACCAAAGCTTTTTTGTACACCTGTTTTTCAAAGATTGATTGGCCAGACTTCCATAGCTTTTTAATATATTAAGTGACATACTCTGATGCAGTTCTCATCTGATCAGAGCAAATTTTTACGTTTTTTTAAAACAGGACCTCTTGAAGCTTTCTATTAACAATTTGTTTCTTCTTCCTCTTTTCCAAAAAGACCAGATACTAACTTGATCTTCCAGAGTGACTTGTTAAGATTAATCTTCTCCTCCTCAGTTTTAGGTAGACATCCATGTCTTTGCATGTTAGCACTAGCAGTTGCTCCATCCTCTTTCCATTTTCAGTCAATGGACTGAACAGAGTGGTGTGAGATGTCTCTGTAAATGTCTGTGGGCTGTGTTCCTTTTCATTTTCAAAAATAAACTTGCTCAAATTTTAAATTTCAAATTTTTGGTGCTAGGATGAAGTGTTTTTTTTTTATTTTTATTAATATTTGTTTATTTTGCAAAATTGCATTGGAAACAATTTTTTTCATGAGTCACATGATCAACAACAGGACGTTACGACTGCAGAAATCCACAAAGAAGACGACTGCAGAAATCCACAAAGAAGACGACAGGAAGTAGTTGGAGTATGATGGCACAACATGTTTTGTTATATAAACAAAGTTATTTTCATTATATTTATTATTCAACGGAAACACTGCAATTGTGAAATTGTGCCTTTTCAACATTAGTGAAAAACTGATAAAATTTTGCACACATTTGTAAACTCAGCTTAGAAACTCTGGTGTGATAATACCACAGGTAAGTTATGTTTCCTGTGGTATAAGGGGAAAAATGGCCCTTTTCTTCCTCACAGGGCCATTTAGTTTGGATTTTTATTTTCCATAATAATAAACATCTTCATTAAAAAACTGCATTTTGGTTAAATTTTGTTTGATGTTCCAAAACACGGAATTGTGACAAACATGCAAAAAAAAAACCCAAAAATGGAATCACGAAGGGAGCAAACATTTTTCACGCTACACTGAGATGAGATAATCATTTGTAAACCACTGTTTGCTCTGGTATTTATTTAGCTCTACCAGAGTGAAGAGGTGGAGTACAAACAGTTATTTTTCTGATTATATTTGTAAAATATGAAAAAAAAAACATGCATCATTTATTGACTGCTCTGTGTTCTGGTGACAAAATGTGAAAACGTTGAATGCCTGGGAATACGTCTGCAAAGCAGCATCTTGAAGTGAAATTACATTTCTTTTAGATTGGAGGCTAATGTCTAAAACGTAATTATTTTTGGGTCCCATATGACAAAGCATGCTGCTTTTTTTTTTCTTCTTTTTTCCAGTGGAACTCTTGTGATGTGTTCTGTGATGGCGCACACGCCTCCTTTAGATGCAGCTCTCTGTCCACTTTCTGTCATTTTCCTGGTCACACACAGATCCTCACACATCTCCCTGCTTCACCACGGCTGTCTTCTTTACACACGTATCCATTTCCTTGGTTCTGTGCAGAAGTAAACAACCTGCGACCCTGTTTCTCAGGAAGAAGAGAGAAAATAGGGTTCGTAAGCTTGCTAAACCTCTTGGGTATTTAAAAGTTCAAGACATGTTGAGTTCAGTTGAATAATTCACATGGAAGATGCAACTTTGCTTTTTTAACTAGAAAATGAAACTCAATCTTGCCAAGAAACTCGTACAGGTCACAATGAGCAATTGGTTAATGAAAATGATCAGGTTTGTGATGCATTGCTAGCTGGGTCCTGCAGTACTTCATGAAGCTGTAAAACGGGTTGGACCCGAAGCCCCCTGCGTTGGCAAAGTGTGCCATCGCTGCAGTCTTCAGACTCATCAAAACTCCAATGAGCTGAGGCAGCTTTAGGGAAGGGATTATTACTTATTCAGAATAGCTAATGTATGATGTAGAAGTTGGCTCTTTTTTTCATCTCTCTGCTCTCCGGTCTCTTTGGCTCAGCCTCATCTCCTCCTTTCTGTGCACTTTAATGTGGTTTGAGTTATTTATGGCTGTTAGTTTCGATTCCAGCCAATTCTTATGAAATGAACTAACAAATAGAGAAAAACCATGTTTCTGACACGTTTTTTGGTTTTATTGCTTCAGAGTATGAGCAGTAACATCAGTGGGCATCATTAACTGCTGTTAACATTTACTGATTCTGTCCTTTTAACAGGACAACCAGCAATCACCCAGATCAAATGTAAGTCATAGTAAGACACGGTAGTGGAGGTATGGTGATGTGGGGGTAGTTATGTACAACATCAGTTGTCTGTAAGATGTTTCTTCTAATTTATGTAGATTAAAATAAGTTGTTTGATATAACAGACTGAAAGTCCATCAATCCAGAGAGCAGCGTGGAGACCGTCAGGAGGATTTGGTCAGGACAGGTCCATAGAGGTCAGAGGTCAGAGCTGGAGCTGTTTTGCAGCTCATCTCCACTATGTCTTAATATACTTTGCAGTATATTAATTTACTTTGTTTTTTTATGCAGCTGCATAAAAAAAAAAAAAAAAAAAAAAGAGACCCCACCCCCACTAAAAAAAAAAAAAGAAAAACAAAAAAAGCAGATATCTCCTCAGCTTCTCTTCCTGACTGACTGGTCATCGCCTGGTCAGGTCAGACTAAAGCAACTGTTTAATGATGATCAGACCCTGATTTGATTCATATCCTCATTCAACAATGAATTGAAACTGGATTTGCACGAAGACGTTCACTATTGTCTCAACAGCTCACACTTTGCTGACATATGATGTCATCGCAAATAGAAATGAAACCGCCTGTACATTGGAGCAAAGTGTCGTGTTAGATTCAGACAGGTGACACGGCGGCAGAAAGGGTTTCTGACACTGCGTGGAAAAAGTGCAGATCCGCAGTAGACTGACCGTGAAGGCAGGAGTGAACCACTTTTGAGCACCTCGCATTGCCTATTGTGGGAGCTCCCCACCGGAGTGATCGATCCCCTGCAACCTGTGCGCATGGCACGCATTGGACCGATATTGAGTCGAAGGCGGTGTTGTGGCTGTACGGTGACGTCTTAAGGCAGGTCCTGGTCAAACCTACCAATGGTACTAGTCGGTCCTACTCTGCTGGGACTGATCGCAATGAATGGGTTTCGGAGCTCTGCACGGCAAAGGAGCACCCACAGCGCGACGAGGCGGATAAGGGGATGCGGCATCGGAACGCGGGAGCGGTCCATCAGCACCACATACCAGACGAAGAGCGAGGGAACAACGAGCAGAGCCGAGAGCAAGTCGCGCCCGTTTTCAGTCTGCCGCCCCCGCCCTCTTCTCACCACAGAGTCCGCACTCCAACCACCGCCGCTCAGCGCCAGAGCCTCCAGGAGCTCCCGTGTGTGAGCCAGCCCCCTCGGAGACCGGTTCACAGCGGCGACCCGCTGCCGCTGGCGAGCTGCGACAGCAGCCGGCGACCTTCACAGCGAGGCGGCGAACCCAGCGCCGGTCAGCCGGTGCACCTGCGGCAGGATCTCATTCCCTGGGCCCCGGACGGCTCGCAGGAACCGCCGCCGCTGCAGTCAGAGAGGGAGGCTGTTTTTCCAAGCTGCCACTGCAGTTTCTCGGAACAAGAAGCGAACCTTCCTCCAAATCAATCCCATCCTGTAGACTCTCTCACCCCGCAGCCCTCCCCGCCTTTCCCACCACTCCTGCCGCCGCCACCAACGTCTTCCTCCTCTCTGCTCTTTTCTCGGAGATCTGGAAGAGGGGATCGTCTCCGAAGGAGCGCCAATAATTACCAACAGGCGAACACCGTGGAACGCTGCAGGGGAGGAGGAGGAGCAGGAGGGCACCAAGACCACAGGCAGTTGTTGCAGCCACAGCAGCAGCAGCAGCACTGTCATTTAGGACTCCAACAGAGGGACCCCTCCCCTGAAGGAAGCCGTGCAAACTCACAAAAAGGGCACTCTTTAGATGCACGCGAGTCAAACGAGGCTAAGAAAGCGCTCGAGTGTCAGATTCAGGATCTGCAGCAGCAACAGATCCCACAATTGCGAGCGCAGCAACAGCTACTGGTGGGAAGCAGCTTGCCCGTCAACTACTGCGCAAGCGGCACCAGAGAGCTATGTAGAACTCACCGGGCTCCTCTGCTGCAACAGCAGGAGCGGCAGCAGCTGCTGCAGCATCGGCAGCAGCAACGGCTGCAGCAGCAGCAGCAAGGCGCGCCGGGGCTCCGTCCCCAGCCTTCGCAGCAGCAGCAGCAGCAGCAGCACTGTGACAGAGAACGCAATAAGTGTGAACGGATCGCCGCGGAGGGCGGTCAGGCGCAGTCACACAGCCGCGTAACCCCCCCTGCAACACCGCACGCATACGCGGGGAACTCGTCTGCTTCTGGCAGCCACAGCAGCAAAGACAGCCCCAACTACGGCTCCAGCTATCACCTGTGGCCCGAGAGCCCGCATAAAGGAGAGGAGAGGATCCGCATCGACCTCCATAAGGTACAGACCCTCCGCTCCCAGCTGCTAATTAACCGATCCGGACAACAAACAAACTGCAATTAGCTTTTCATTTAATGACCACGCCTGTCATCTGATTTTGATAGAGCACAATATATTTTAGGTAAAGTGAGCGGCGTGTGTGTGTGTGTGTGATGGGCTTCACATTATTTTCAGCGTCGACAGAAACACTGATGTAAGTACTTCACATGTGACCCAGCATGTTGTGTGGTATTTTGTTTCATTTGATTACGCGCGCACGCGCGCGCACACAAAAGAGCAATGGCGCTGTGTCGCGCGCACACACCTGTTCCGTGTTGCAGACTTGTTTTGGGGGCCCGCTGACAGGAGCCTAATGAAGCTCCCTGGCAGCCGAATTACAGCGCGTTTGTTGCTCCCGCTGAACAGAGGGGGACCGGAGCGGAGGATGCTCCCGATCTGCCTCCCCGACACAACACAGACAGAGGCTGGGCAAACCGACACAGGCCTGTACCTGCAGCAGAGCATGGCCAACTTATTCCACTGACGTTACATATACAGAATGTTCTCCTGGTCTTCATCCACTTTCATTTATGGGAAAAAGTGCCCTGTGCATATTTCATATTTTTGTTGTAATATACTTACATGTTGCTAATCACCAAATTATTTAATATCAGAAAAGGATGATCTGAGTAAAGATGTTGAATTTGGGGTTTTTATTTTCTGAAACATAATATACAGCTCTGGGAAAAAAAAGAGACCAATGTAAAATTATTAGTTTCTCTGATTTTACATTTCTTAGATATATGTTTGAATGAAATGAACAATGTTCCTTTTATTCTATGAACTACTGACAACAAAAGCAAAAGATTAGTATTTATTTGCAGAAAATGAGAAATGGTTAAAATAACGAAAAGGATGCAGCACTTTCAGACCTCAAGTAATGCAAAGAAAACAAGTTCATACACACACCCACACACACCCACACACACCCACACACACCCACACACACCCACACACACCCACACACACCCACACACCCACACACCCACACACACACACACACACCCACACACCCACACACACCCACACACACCCACACACACCCACACACACACACACCCACACCCACACACACACACACACACACCACACACACACACACACACACACACACACACACACACACACACACACACACACACACATATAATATAAATAGAATGTACTTTATTGAGCCCAGTGGGAAACAAGGTACTCCATCTAAGGTATTAAATAATAATTCAAATATAACCATAATAATAATAATAATGTGTGTGCGTGTAAGAAACAAAGGCTCTGTATGTGATGATATACGTTTCACTTTCTGAGATGTCTTGGAATAAATATCAAACTTTTATGCAATATTCAAATAGCATAAAAAGTCAAATCATATTAATAAAAAAGTCAAATCATGCTTTTGTTTATTTAGGGTGAAGAGAGCTATCCACATTGACCTTGCCCCATGTGAAAGTCATTGCCTTCATTGTTAATTAATTAGTCTCATTTCTTTGAGAAATTATTTTAACCCACGTCTGATTTACCAGATCTCCAGAATCAAGAAATCACTTCAATAGAAGCTTTATTACTGCATGAAAAACAACAACAGTAACTAAAATAAAACAACATATTGTGTCTATTTATAGGTTCAGAATAGAATAGAATTATTACAACAGGAGCAAAGTGACAGGCAATCAAAGCAAATAGTTTGGAACAAAGATAGAATATAAAATGCATGAAAACAGAAAAAAGAATAAAAATACTGAACAGTAAGTGCAACATTTCAGCGAACACACAATGTAGTTATATATAAAAAAATGTAATCCAATCTTAGTGAATGTGCGACTGAGTTGGTTCATTTAAAAATGTACATTTCCAGAAGAGATTTCCAGGACCAGTTCTAAGGCTTTGGGGCTCCTGCAAACCACAGCAGGAGCCATTATGCAGAAATGAAACACGTAGGCTGGAACCTGAAACAGTGGAAGGACTTCCCAGGAGTGGTCAGCCCACCAACATCACTCCTAGAGTGACGACTGATCCAGGAGATCACTGAAGAACCCAGAACTCCCACTAAAGCTACTAATACTGACTGAAAAGAATTCTGAATGCAAAGGCCCAGCTGACATTTACCGGAACACGTCCTGATGATCCTTTAGAGTTTTGGGTGAATATTCTGTGAACTGGTGACACAACAGCGTAATGTTTGGAAATTGCAAAACCTCTGAGATCTAACGCAGCATTTTAAAAAGGGACATCATCTGGGTCTTTCAGCATGGTGGGTCGTCTGGGGTTGCCTTGGTGCTTCAGAGGAGAATTTCTGACCAGCAAACTTTGGAGTGAACTTGTTATGATCTAGATTTGAATCTGAAGATGTGGATTAATCTTAATGCTCAGAAACCCTTGATCTAAAACAAGTCTGCAAAGAAGAGTGAGTTAAAATTCTTCCAGAGCAATGTGAAAATCTAGCAAGGATTGCAAATCCTTGATAGCAGCTGTAGCACCAAGGGTGGCCTATTAGGCTTAGGAAGAAAGTTCTGTTTTATACAGGGCCTGGTTGGTTTGGATAAGCTTCTCTACTCAATTAGATCAGAAACTGAAACTGTTCTTACTCAAGCTCTCATATGACATTCAAATTTGTACAAATCTGGAACATTCAGGTGAAATATATAAGGGGACAAATGCATTTTCCCAAGTTGCCTGAAGAAAAAGATTCAAGGTTTATCAATAATAATAATAAGTCTTTTTCTTTTATGCAACTGCACTTATCAGAGGAGTAATTTATTCAGATTTAAATCTATTCATTTTCAGTTGAGCTACATTACTTTAGATTGAATTCCTAAAAAATATTCACTTTTTAGTGACATTTGAATTTATGGAATTGAACCCATCAATACCCTAATTGGCTTCGAGCAAAATGACAAGCATCGGGTAGAAAAGCCAAAAATTGTAATCAAGTAGGAGTAACATTACAAAGTAGCCACCTAAGAAATTCTTCAATATTTTATCTAAAAATCAAACCGTTTAATATTTAAAAATGATGTCTTCAGAGAAAATGTAAAGTTATGCACAATATTTGCTACTTTAAATACTAGAATGGAAACATAACAAATTCAGGCAAGAGAAACACTTTCCTAAATAATTTTTTTCTTTCTAAACATATGAAACACACGCACACGCTCACACACATATGTAATGAATCCAGTAACAACATGTACTGATCTCCAATTTGCACAAAAGGCTCAGTAGATAGAAAATAACATTAGAACAAAGCTTGTGTACAAAACGAGAGGTTTCACTTCAACTGAAACTGGAGGTGTGTGTCTGCGTCTCATGCAATTTTGATTAAAACATGCTTGTTCTTCATTTAGTGAAGTTAGTCACAATATAGGGTATCCAGTAATTTTGATCAAGGAGTAGTAATATTTTCACTGTAATATTACTCAAGTAAAAGTAAAGAGTGTAGTACAGTAAAACTAAACCTACAAGTAAGTTTTTTTTTTTTTTTTTTTTTTTCGCAAAAAGTTACTCCAGGAAATGTAACTGACTTATTGTGACAAGTTATGATCCACATATGAAGGTGAGACAGCATGTCTTAATTAGAACAGATTGATGTTAAAGGGCCAGGCTGATATATTTTCCAGGCTAATAGTGCCATTTCGTAGCACAATCGAGTATCTATGTTACCTTCAGTTATAAAAATACTGTAAATATCAAATATGAATTGAAAGAAATTTGACTTTGCATATTAATGCATTGAAATTGGGCTTCTGTCTCTTTAAAAACTCCTGATTTTTCTGAAGCTCCACTTAATTAAGTAATCACAACATGGCTCCTCTATTAATCCTTTAACAATGTTTTTATCAGCGTTGCACTCAGAAGTAGCTCCTATAATAAACTCCATAGCTGTGCAGTTCCACCAGGTGCTTGCTGGTAGCCGGTGACTAGTCTGAAGGAACTGAATGGGGGAGTCGCACCAGTAGAAACATCAGTTTTTGCTAAAAGAATCTAAAAATATTTGCTTTGTTTCATGCATGAAAACCTCTGGTGTGAAAAGTATGTGTTCCCTGTGCAGTGCTATTCAAAAATAGCAGCTCCTCTCATTGTGAGAAATATTTTGAACATCACAGGTGTGTGTCAGTCAATTAGAAAATCATCTAAAAGTTTATTTGTAACAATTGTTGAAATCAAAGGGTGGAACTCGGTTTTTAGATATTAAAAATTGGAGCTGCTCTTTGAGGCGGAAGCTCTGAGGCTTGGAAACTGCAGCTTAGAGGAGGAGCTGCGTCTGGAGGGCGGGGCTATGTCCACTCAGTATTTTTACACAGCTGAATGGTTTCCATGGGAGACCAAAGGATTTCTCAAAGATACATCAAATAATCAAGGCAACAATGTGAGTTTAATGAGGGAATAACATTATAATATGATGTGAAGATCAAAAAAGTCAATTTCACATAAAACTGCCCCTTTAATTGAAAACTCAAATAACAGATTAAGTAAATAAAAGAAGTGCAGAATTGTTAAGTGTCTGATCTATACAGCAGTGTAGCTGTATTGAGCTGTTTAGCAGCCTTGTGGTTTTAGTTTGAAATATATCTCTAGACATTTTTAGGACAACAACAACCCTACCAATAAAAAACACCAATCTCAGTTATGTAGCCGCTGCCTTTAAATTAGCTAACAATGACAAGCATTACACTGAGTCTCCTGAAACCTGATTGTCAGGAGAAAAGAGGGGAATAACATTCATGTCCTTAAACAATTTGAGGACACTGCACAGTTAGAGGACATAGGAAGCGTTTGAGCCAAATGAACTGCTGTGTCCTTCAGGACCAGGAAAATAAAATGTGGCAAAAGACCTGCATCATCCTTCAGGTGCTCCATCCAGGGTGGTAAGATTCTAGGGACTGGACATTTTGATGCTCAACCATTGAAGGTGCAGACGTGATATTTTAGGACTGGAAATAGCAAATTCATACAGCCAAACA